GATAATGCGTCATATGGGTCATGCTTTGTCAGCTCTCACAAGACACATGATATGGGCCCTATAGATTCCACAAAAGTATGCGTGTTTGCACAAACTCGCTACATTTGGATGACAGAACTAGTCATCATAACCTGTAGCAGAAGACATAAGTAGCATTAATCAGTGAAGATGTAACGAAGAGAAACAATGGCCACTAGCAGACAGAGTTACTGGCAATTGCACCACTACCATGTGTGACCGCGCCCAAGACAATCATGTGTACCAATTCAACCGACCTTTTTGCCTACTTTTCTCACGCACTTTCAAAACGTCTTCGATTAAACGATCCAACACTTCATCAAGTCAAGCGCATCATCTGTCGGCAAGCAAGGCGCACCTAAGTTTTCAACGTAGCAGTTTACATAAGCGCCCATACTAAATTACTTTTCGAAAGTGTTTGTTTGCCTAGTGAAATCTATTTAAGTCATCGTTGAATTTAGGGAACACGCTGTGTGGTGTTTGGGTTGCGACTCGCAACTTCTATTGAGACCTCAGCTCACTTTGAGCTAAACCTCAATCATTCCGATCTCGAGGCCCGTATCCGGAATGGAAATATTTAGATGTTGCTCCTTTCAGTGTTTTAGGAGGAGCAACACCGAAATCTATTTAACTTTCTGATACTAAAATGATCTTTTGTAAATAGCAGGGGGGTTTATTAGGTTTTTGTGTAGATTCATCGCAGTTAGACACAGACAGCCACCACACATCCAGGAAAGCGCTGGCTGGCCATTTCGTCCTAGTGGGACTCGTAAGTAGCGCGCACCCACCGAATCCTACCGGATTCGAACCTACGACCTTACTGTTGCGAGGCAGCGACCTATGTTACTGAGCCATGGGCGACGGCACATCATAACATGCAAGATAGTGGAGGATGAGCCGCGCTAAATCGCAGTTAGATATCAGTCATGGAGGTCCGCTGCCGTTGCCCATGGTTCAGTGACAAACGTCGCTGACTCGCAAGAGTAAGGTCGTGCTACGAATCCAGCGGGTGCGCGCTACTGACGAGTCCCAATAGAACGAAATGGCCGGCTAGCGCTTTTCTGGATGTGTGGTGGCTGTCTGTCTGTGTCTAACTGTGACGAATCTCTATACTAGCTATCTCAGAGTAGTCTATGACGACGGTGGTAGTGAAAATCATTGTCCTTTTATCTTTCGAGCACGATACTACTTTGATTGATCCTACATGTTCTTCTTCTTTAGCAACTCATCGAATCGCACAAACATTTGGTTGCTGAAATGGACCAACGCAACGGTTGGATTGAATCGATTCGCGAAGCGGCTGCTGCGTTGATGGCCAAAGCGTCTCAAGGGGGTGCTTCGGGATCTGCTGATGTGGCGGCTATTCGGAACCAGCTAGAACACTTGAACACAGTATGGAACCGAGTCCGGACGCTGATGGATCAACGTACCGAACGTCTAAATGCGGCGCTCAAGTTGGTGAGTGTGAAGTGGTAGATCGAAGATTGGTTTATCATCTCATTTTCGTCCATCTCCCCTTCCACGTCCTAATTGGTTGCTGCTTTACAGTAAGTACATGGCTCATTGTCGTCGCCAGTGACGCGTTGGTTGCCGTCAGCTAGTCAGAATGTCTGTTTGCCCTGTGCAGTGCGACTTATTATGACGCAGAGCAGTGAAAACCGCGAGGAGTTTGTATCACACAGATACCGCCCTTTTCTCGTCGGATATCCAATCGCTGGTAACCATTTGATAGATAAAAGGTGTGCATCCGCTAACTCCGAACGTTAGTCTACGTCATTCAGGTTCTAAAACAAGTCCCACTTAATTTTGTACTCCAAACCTCCATCAGTGTAGCTATTCTAATTACATGGCAGTGAAGTATCAAGACAAATTACCACTGTGTTGGTGTTCAGGATAAGTTTTGGAGTACTCTTCGTGAGCTTAGATCGTAATGACAAACTTTGGTTTTACCTGCATCGTCATTGGAAACAAACCCCTGGCCACTGACTATGTAGCATCCTCATAAAGATCCCTTTGATCTTGCCGGCTGTCAGCATTGCCCCCCCCCCCCCCCCCACATCCGATTTGTACTTCTGTTCAACTATTTTGCTAACGACAGATGCAGTGGGGGAATAGGACTCGGCATCTGGTTGTTACTAGCGAATTTCTTTAGAACTTAAGCCTAACATTTATGCACCTGAGATTAGAAAGGACCGGATAGGATTGAAGCATTGCAACGGGAGATGCAGCACTACTCGAAGTAACCTAACGGCCGCCACACGCACGGCATTTCCTTACCCTGCTCAAAATCCAGCTGTCTCAAACGTCCCAGTATTTCTTAAGGCACTCATACTACTGCTTGAATAGCAGTAACTACTCAATCTACTTAGTGATCAGAAGCCTAGGTTGAGATGTTGCACTCGGATGGCCGACCTAGTCATGCAGTGCGGCGCCTGGGACTCATTAGAGATGAGCCGTTAGTTAAGAAGTCGCATTGGGGACTATCTCCTGGGCCTTGCGTGCAACAATCAAGTGTCCTCGAATAAAAGAGACTGGCAGATTCACGATACTCGAGGCTATGAAAATCCGAAGCGTCGAAACGGCCGTTCGGTAGCCCCCACCCGTACTCGTGTTGCATCTGTTGTGAGTCACCTAGTAACATTACTTATCGACGCCACCAGATGGGACTGTGTAATGTTCATGCTAGTTCGCACCCGTTTATACACATGCTCGGGGGAGCCTGTCAAACCCGTTGCGTGGTCCCAGCCAGGCGGAGGGCCTGTACTTTCGTCCATAGGTTTTTGCTTTTCACCATTTGCTGCGGTCATTATGGGTTCTACTTTTGCTCTTCGCATTACGTATTCTTTCGATTTGGCAACCCCCGTGAATGGTGCGCATTCTCTCGGTCCTCTCTACTGGGAATAGAACCCTTGACCGCTAGAGGCAGATGCCAACTAGCCAGAAACTTACGCCACTGAGCCATGGAGGATGTTGGCTGGGCTACATAATTTGCAAGCTATGTAGTTTGTGAACTATTGGGATGAATCCCATAAAATTAAAAATCTCGTGAGTGTTCAGACCGATGTGTCCATATAGCAATAGGTCAGTATGGGGGTGCCATGCTGCGGACGCAATCCTCAGCCACTGTGATGACATTTGCGTGGCCAGGCCGGCATAATCGCATGAACCTAACCATCTGGCATCGGTCGCGTTTTGTGACATCCATGATTTGGTACTTGCTGGGAGGACTCCTTCTGAGCGTTATTGGCAACTTGCCTAGGCCTAGTGATGAAGTGGGCTGCCATTGCAGCTTCATCTTTTTCTGTCTGAAAGGTGCAAACAATTGCGAAGCTTGCACACAGAGGACATTGTTACAAGTGGGCAACACCTAACCGTGATTTGCTTTGTTTGCGACTACAGTGCTCAGTCCGAATTAAAATTTCATATCACACACACACACACACACACACGAAAGGCATTCAATACAAACAAACTAGTCTTTGTTTACTGTTTCGTCCCAGTAACTCACAAGTCATATAGCGTAACCACTAATCCGGAAAAGCACCATACGGCAGTTTCTCCATATTGGGGCACATCAGTGGTGTGCATTTCCGCGGTCCCGTCTATGGGCCTAAACCCGCAACCGCTGGCAGTATGCACCAATTACGTAGCAGCTTATGCCACTGAGGACGGTGGTAGACCGTCCAAAATTCTAAGCCCGTGGGACAAACATTTCATTTGGAGCTCTGTGGTTTAGTAACATGCCAGCAATCGCTGCGTCCTCTGTTCGTCTGACGAGCGGAGCCATGAACGAACTTAGTAATGGAGTGTAGTCTTCGGATTGAGCAGCACTAGAGATTTAACAGTAGAACGATGCCTATCCTATCGCTCTTCGTCTGTCTCACAATGAGGCATGGTATTCCCTCCGAATTGATGACGTACAAGATTCCGGATCATTGGAACATGTCGAGTGGCTTGAGATTTGTCGATTGAGGAATCGCCTGTGTTGTGAGCATGTTCACACTCACCTGATCATCGGTGGGTACACTCAAATGAATGCGTTAAGCACGGAAATAAACTGTAACTGTTTTCTTGTCATCTGAGAGCAGCCCTTATATTATTTGCCTTGGCCCAATCGCGTCTTTCCATCGATAACTGCCTTTCGCCATATTGCTTTCCACATCAGGCGGTGCAGTTCCAAAAGATGTGCCGCAGTTTGATGGATTACTTCGCCGGCGCGGAACATGTCATTCGGCGTTTGGCCGCGTTGCCGACCTATGACGATGATGTTGAAGATGACTCTGATAACACCGACAATGCTTTGGACCCCGACAGGCTATCCGATAAGCCTAAAAAGAGCAAGAACGAGGCCCCGGAAGATTTGAGCAGTGCCATCGAATCTCATGAACAAACCCACACCAATCTAATGGATCAGGCGGAGCGCGTCGAGGCCACGCTGCAATTGGGTACTCAGCTCCTGGCTCAAGCGCATCCCGAAGCAGTACCTCGCTTGCGTCAATGGATTCACACTGTACAGAGCCGTTGGAACGACGTAGGTGCATCGCTACCGGTAGACAGCCGTGTCATTTTAACATGTCCTAAACTGTCGCACCAAAACTATTGAGTTATGTGTTCTGCTCGCGAAGCTAGCTGCACCTGAAGTCATCATTTTTAATTACTGCTACCATTACCTATGTTAATCCCCGAAATGATTGTGCATCGAGCTTTCTCTTTCATTTGTTTTCCTGCATCGTTCTCTTGTCCACCTATCTAGCTAATTTCCTGGTCGGCTCAACGAGGAGATCGTTTGCGAGCAGCGCTTAGCGAGCAAGATAAAAGGCGCGTGCTGCATAGGGAACTGACTGAGTGGATTATTGCGACTCGAAGAAGATTGGAGCAAGAGCCAGCCATCACACTGGCCGACCCATCTGTCTCTGCGGTGAGCAGCGTACCTTTATCCGTCTCAGAAGAAGTTGAAAGGCCTTCCACTGAGGACACGCACGCGGAGTTCACCGATAATCAAGGGCCCTTCAGTTCGGATGCCCCTCGTTTTGAGGAACAACCAGTGGTAACATCTTTCCGCACATTGCTTCTTCATGAGATCACAGAACCCGAGTTAGTGGAACGGTTATTGGAAGAACAGGCGGAGTTGGAACAGGAGTTTGCGACGCGGCAACCTATTTTGGATGCTATACTGAAACACGCCAAACTCCGGGTTATTCCGAAATCTTCCATCCCAAGGGGACCAATGGCCGCCCGACGAAGTCGTGTCGGTTCCCGGGGATTGGGTTCTGGACGTCTGTCTGTTAGTCGAACCAGTCAGGTAGCTTCAACTTCGGTGAATAATGAAATATCATACGTCTCCCCCGTGATCAACCAGTTGTACCAACGATGGATTCAGCTACAACGTCTGTTAGATGCAAGGCGTGTCAAATTACGCGATCGCCTATCTTATTTGAGCGAAGTGGAAAAGCTGAAGACATTCGACTTCGAGGCTTGGCGGCAGCGTTACGTTGCGTGGCTGAACCAGAATAAAGCCCGTGTGATCGATCTGTTCCATCGCAAAGATCTCGATCGTGACGGCAGGTTGACGTATGCAGAATTCATCGACGGTATCTTGGAAATGAGTAAGTTTGAGACCAGGCTAGATATTTTCCAATCCGTTTGGTTCCACTCGTTACTTAGTTTCAACAGTTGGCCACAGTTAGGTCACACCAGAACATTTTTCTTCAAGCGCGGAACAAACAAATTCGTGTACTGATGGTGGTATCCATTAACACTAGACTCGAAGAACACTTTGCGTGTACTGGCCACTTTAAATATTTCAGTCAATTCAACTGACGATTTGTTGCAGGCACCAAGAACAAGCGCGGTAAGTTCGCATCACTCAATCGCCACAGTGATTGTCCATTCCATCTTCTGCATTGCTGAACCTCGGGTTGTTGCCCTCTGTTCGACCTGCTCGTGAGATGCTCATTGGCAAGAGAAACGACGCAGTTATCCCTTCCAGTGTGCATGCCTCTTTTGGCTCAGTTAGGCACCCTCTCTACTCTTTCAATTTACGTTCGCTCTGCTCCACTCAGTAATCTGATAGCACTATGAATCAATACAGTGTCATACCCCTCTCTAGTCACCTTCTAGCCTCCATCGGCGCCTGCGTATTAAGCCCTCAGACGGCTATAGATGGACTTTGGACTTCTATGCCGCAGCAGCTTTTAGCTGGAGCCAATAATTCACACTGAAATTACCTACTTCCAGCTTTGTAGCCAAAATATTGACTAAGACAAGATTGTCTATTTGTTACACCCAGATGAATCAGAACAATGACGGGGCAATGGAAGTATATCGTAAGCAACGGTGCATACAGGAAACGTATAGAAGCAAACAGCAAGCAAGCAAGTAACGTGAGTGCTGAGTCCAGTGTTCGATCAGACAGGGAGGGACTTGACCAATGAGCGCAATGAGAGGAAGTACGAAACACACACACACAGTGTTGCCAACATGCACTTTTCCTACGGAATAAGCAACAATACGTGAACGAGATCCAGATGTTCCGACTACTTCTTGCAGTTGATCTTTTTCGGGACAATTGCCGTTCCGAGTGGGTTCACCTCAGCTAGAGTCGATCACACAGCCACCTTAGAGAACAGCGCTGGAAGGCAATTTGTCCTATCGGGGCTCATCAGTGGTGCATATTTCCTTAGAATTCGTGGGAGCTAGAACTCACGAAAACGCTATTTGCAATTCAGCAACTTAGGCTGCTGCACCATAGGCCACATCGGCTGAGATGAAGTAATTGAATTTGTCATAAGTGATCCAAATAACCTCCGTCGCCAATTTGTTACCCTCAGATGGATCAGAAAAATGACGGGCAATGGAAGCATATCGTAAGCAACAGTGCATACAGGAAACTATAGAAGCTAACAGCAAGCAAGCAAGTAACGTGAATGCTGAGTCCAGTGTTCCATCCAACAGGGAGGGACTTGACCAATGAGCGCAATGAGAGGAAGTACGAAACACACACACACACGTATTGATGGACACACAGACACACGCGTATGTTCGCAGTCAGTAGAGGCGATACGGAACACTGGCTAAGGGCGTATCAGGCAGTGACAGTGTGGCTCAGCCCCCACTGTGCCATAGGACAGGGTTGGTTTTCAGTGGCATGATTTCTATTTTCAAGCAACCGGTCGTTCTTTGACCAGTTGTACTGCGCCGACAGTATACGTCGCTCCATCTAACTTACTTGGGGTAGCGTGTTCCAATAATTCTGGAGAATTTGGGGAAGAAGCGTGTTATTGCTTAGTTCCAATAGGACCAACTGGCCTTCCGGATATGTGATTGGTGTATGACGGAGATCAGCAGCGGCGGACCAGCTTGACCGACATTGTAAACCAGCCATGTTTAGCAGCTCGGGCGGAGCACATTTCGTCTGCATCATCAGTGACAGCACATGGCTACTTCGTACGGAGGCCACTGGGTCATACGGCCATATTGGCTTTAACAGCCGTATAATGTGAAGTTGGGGTCTGGTGCAAAATTTAAGTGTTCCACATAAACATCCCGTATGAAGGCACTAACATATTGACAAAAGCGTACCTGCACAAACAGCGGACTATCGCGATACTCGTTAGCCCGCAACTTTCTCAACGTTACCTCAAAGGTATCTTTCCATCGGGCACACTTTAAACAAGCAGTGGGACTAGAAGGCGATCGCAAGTACGCCACGGGTGTCGGTCACGAACCGTCATGTTAGGTTTCCAAGCGAGAACAGAGTGGGTCTCATGAACCACAGTTTGATAGGTGGGCGGATGACATCACCTATTCTGGTGATCGGTGAGTTCGTTTCTCGATGCTGCATCAACGATTGTCCCCATCGGCCGTTATGGCATCCTAGATCAGACGAACAAAACCAGGTGCTCTGTTCGGCAAACAGTGATAGGATATATGTAGCTCATGTTAATCTGATGATCGCGCTCTTGTACCCACCTGTGCACTTCATCGATGCTATGGCTAACCGATGCGAACAATGCCCAATAGACATGGATCTTCAGATCGAAGAAGAACACGGCGCTGTGTACATAACATTCTGGTGCTCAAGTTGTCTCAGCTGTGTGGTTGCACTCTAATGCTTGCCCACCGCGATTAACACATGAGGGCGCGATAGTCAACATCCTTCGTGGCCCACCAACTTAGTTCGCGCTCGCCAGTCACCAGCTCAAGTAGCTTCACTTGTTCGGAGTGCAATCTAGTGTGTAGCCATCGTAAACACTTTTTAGCAAGATGGGCGCTGCTTTGGTGTCGCTGGGCCACAACGTATATCGATTCAGTGGGAGCTGTTACGTGGGAGCGGTGACTCGGACACATCTGCTCACTGCATAGAGTTCAGGGTAGTTAGATTCACCGCTGCCTCTTTCGACGTTTACTCGTTAGCTCGTTGGCGCTCCTGCAAGTTGCCTGAATATTTCCCTATTCAACGTTATTCTGTTTGTTTTCGCATCGTCCTGCACGAAAGTTGAACAACAGTGTGTTCTGTGCTTATCTTTGTTGGATTGGGATTCCATTGTGTCCCATGCTCCATCTGATCCCATCTCATTGTCGTCCGCAGAATTCTCCACGACCCGTGTGGAACTACAGGCTGTGGCGGAGGTCTTCGATGCGAACGGCGATGGCTACATAGACTATCGAGAGTGTCTGAATGCTTTACGTGCTGGTTACGTGGCGTCTCGGGTTGGCATCGGCAGTTATCCCTCTGCGGTTGGAGAAAGTAGCAGCAGTATGCTTAGCCTGTCCCAACTGCGATCCACTGATGAAGAGGTAATCAATGATGAGGTCAGACGTCAAGTTGGTTTGTGCACCTGCCACAACACGTATCAGATTTGCAAAATGACCACCGATAAATATCGGGTAAGTTCAGATGGATTGGCTGTTTTCTACTTTTGGTATATTTCTTTATCATAGTCATCTCCTCTGGATGGCTTTCAGTGAACGGTACTGCCTGCGCTTCTGTCTTAATTGCCGGCCCGCACCCTAAAGGTAACGAGCTTGTCTTCTAATCTGATGGCGCAGATTCCAGTCTGCGTAGGGGCAGGGTGATGCAGTATTCGTAGTCTACTTGCGACCGGTGGTGGATGCGCGACAGCGAAGCGTCGGTACAGCGTCCCGGCGTATTGTTGATGCGTTTTTTCCTCTTTCTTGGTTAGTTTCTCGAGTCGATGTTTACACTGTGAGGCGTTATTCATCTTCAGAAAGGTGACCGCTACTCCTAAGCCACCGAGTCATGACGGACAGTGCTTGTAACGACGGTTAATGATCCATACTGAGGGTCATTTGGAAGTACACTTTGTGTGGATGGATTGCAATACGCAACCTCAGTGTGGACCACGGCTCGCACTGAATTGAACCTTGGTCAATGCGATCACTGGGACCGTATTCAAAGTAGATGGAAATTGGGAGTTGCCCACCCGAAAACACTGCACAGCCACGACGCGTTTCGATGTCATTTCATCTCATCAGGTGGAGATAGCAAGCCTCGAACCCGCGACCATTGGAATAGGAGCCGAAACCTCTACCCCTTTGGCTACCGGCTCACGGCGGGCAACGCTTGGCACAACAGGCCATTTTTGGATTAAAGGTTGGATCGCGACGCGCAATCTCAATGTGGACCGCGATTCACATTGGAGTGAAGCTTGGTCAAATCGGTCACTGGTGCAGTAACTGATGAAGCTGGTGGATATTGGGCGTTACCTGCCCGAAAGCAATGCACTCCATGATCGATCTCGAGTTTCTTTGATCCCGTTAGATGGAGATAGCAGCACAGTTATTCGGATCCGAGATCTTTGTGACACCAACCAAGGCGTCTTCTTCTAGGCCATCCAATTGCTTGTCACAACGGTTAATGACTGATTTGCGCGTGTTCCAACAAAGGGTCTTTTCTAATCGACTTCTTTAGAGTCAATCAGCCTGACCGCTCTCAGAAGACGGATTATTGTTGAACGTGCTGCGCACAGTTGGAGAAGGTGGTCACTAGGCTTTCGTAGGAACAGCTTACAGTAATAACGGTAGGCATTAACTTCCCAATTTCCCTGTCATTGTGGCCAGTAGTTGTCATATGGTACCTGCGCCTGCAGCCGGACTGTGAGGGGTGGAGCTTGTGCTGCACAATCTACATTCACTTCATATGCAGTGATGCATGAAGTTACGTGATTAGGAGGCGGGCGGATGTGAGCCACGATTACTGCAGAGCCGGTTTACACTCTCCAAACGTACATATATGGTTAGCGGCATCCGGTTCTGTGTTTGCTTGTCACTGGCCTCCGTAGGACAGCCACAGGACGACTGCTGCTAGAGAGGGAGGATGGGTGGCTTGCGCTGCACCACGCACAGCTCCAACCACACACCCCATATCCAGTGTAAACCCGAAAGAACAAGACCCGGAGGCGTGTGGATGGGAGCCGGCCCACACTCCTTCACAGGCAAACACAAGCACGTTGTATTTGGGAATCAAGCGCACACAAGGCAGTGGCTGGACCGTAGTCCACTCCACACTGAGTGCATGGAACCACTCTTTGAGTTCAGCACGATCACAAGGACCGTGCAACCGGTCCTCTCCAGCAACAACCAACTGTCTCCTGCAGCCAGTATGAACGAGGTAGTGGGTAATAGACAGGTAGGCACCTTGTCAACATGCAGGTCTAGCGCAGCCACATCGGGGATCTCAAACAACAGCCAATCACTTGAAATGGCATTATCAAATAAAGTATATCTTTTAAAGCATACGGAAATGCCGACATAACTCTTTGCTAAATTAGCTTATGAAATAACTGGGTTATCAGCATATCCGTGATAAATCCAAGATGGTAGAAAAAGAGAAAAAACATGTACAACAAATGCGAATAAATTTACAGAAAATAACCACCTTTTGTTTAAGCGACGTGTGTAAGTAAATAGTAGTATTCAGATAGACATTAAAATGAGGTAACAAAGCAGTATTAAAAAACTGTAGCAAACCGATCACCTGACATAAAGCACGCGGTTAGTAAATCGAATCCAGCGTACCTACAAACGCTGCGCCGGTTCTGCATACGTTCGCAGCATGACCCGTCGTCGTTTCGATGCTGGTCCAGAGTGGCCTCGCTCATGGCTCACTAGGCCTGCCTGATTCAGGCACTCGCTACCACATGTGCTACAGCACCATGCGCTCGAATTGGATTGAGTACATCCAACCAGGGGCTGTCGCTTCCGCAACTGCCACTTCTTCGCATGCACGAAGGCTTTCTCTTGCACCTCGGTCACGGCCTTCGTGATCCGATCGCGCCATGCACGCCGACCAATCGCCTTCAAATCTCAACAATTGAAATCAACCTTAGAACGTGATACGTTCAGCTTGAACGTACATACATACTACGTTTGAAATGATAGAGTGCACAGGGAAGTGAGTGCTGAGTTGCAGCAGGCTACGCTGATGGTGGGTATTAACGTGCCTTTACGACGTATAGGAATAATATATATTTGCATCCTTAAGACGTTTTGGTGTTTTAGGTTGTCTTCGTGGATCAATTTGACGCAAATGTTTGTAGCATAGTGTAGGCGTCCCATATATGAATAATATGATTGACATTTTAACTTATTCAGAATGAATCCAACAATGGTATAGGTTTTGATCGCGGCTCCCTGTGAAAGAAATCCTTAGCTTTGGGGGAATGATACCCTTTGTTGACACACTTGCCACTACTCAGAGGAACAGGATGACAAGCACCCTATGGACGATTTTAGGAGGCGACAGTTTGGATAGGCCATTTGGTTGCTTGAATTCAGTCAATCTTGAGATATAACAGGTGACGACATGGCTCCATAGGTGTTTCCACTGATGTACTTCGTGTAGCAGACGTAACGGTAAAGCTTCATTGTGCGATCAATAAATACAAACGGTGCACCTATGGCTACGGTGCCACCTTTCGTCCCTGAATCTCATGGGAGTGGGGAGGTGGCTTTCTAGCGGAAAGCTGCGATTCCTGTTTACAAATCGGATTTGTTACATTTGTTAAGAGGATCTAAGTGTCTGACTACATGTAAGTAAAGTCACCCACCAGAAGAGTGGCCTATGTGACGGTGCCGTAACTCATCGCATCCCTTTCAGCGGTGGTGTCCATGCTCCTGGAGCCAGTAATTGAGCGATCACCTTGGGGCAGTGGACATTAGGTCAGCAACGTCTCAAGACTAGCACACTTAACATACCGCACACGGGGTTAGACGGGCGTAGTGTGATAACACAAATTGGTTTATCCGTAATCGTGATGCCGCGGTTATGCAACGTTAGCCACGGTAACGGGAAGGCGGCGCATGCATAACACACCCAGTCGTACGTGTTGCTCGCGCCGGTTGCCGCACCCAAATACGGTTTTTATGTTTGTTTTGATTTGTAGAATAGTTACCGGAAGCCAGGACTCGAATTAGGGATCTAGAAATTGTGGCTGCACACACACAAGCCTTTGTGATCTAAGTTTATCGCAACTGCCCGCTTGGAATATCCGTTGTTTTGATGCCTTTCGACTCACCACCTCGATTTGGACCATGGGTTGCTTTAAACCCAGCCATGGACTGGTTAATTATTAAAGTGCAATCCAACGTCGACCTCATTGACAGCAAATTGGGCCTGTCAATAGCACCTATGATTAGGAGGATTTTTGATGAAATTTTCCTGATCTATCCCGGCTGCTCACAAGTGTGGCAATCTAGCGAAGCGCCAGACGATCGTTTCACCCTCTTGGCGCTCGTCAGTGGTGCGCATTCCTTCGGTCCCGTGCCGGTATCGAACGCATGGCCGCTGGTAACTTACGCCAACTAGCCAGCAGCCTATGTCACTAGGCATGGGGACGGAGGCAGACCGTCTGAACTTATAGACTGACGGGACTATAGCGCAACATATCCTCTACTCATATGTAGGTTCCTGTCATTGCAGTGGACTGTGGCTGGCCTCGCGAGGTTACGTTAGCTATGTCCGCATAGGATTTGAGACTGCGATGGCGAATGTTTGATTACTTATGAGTAGGCGGATTTTTGCTGAGATTTTGCTGATTCATCCCAGCTGCTCACAAACCAGGTAAACGCAGTTACTGCATAGTGGAACTCGTAACCTCAGTTGCACAAGCTGCTGGCTAGTTGGCCTAAGCTGATAGTGGTCATAGTTTCGATCCCCAGCAGGGGACCGAGGGGATGCGCACCACTGGCGAGTCCCAACAGGACGAACGATCGTTTGGTGCTTTTTAGGTTTGGGGTTAGACCAATTTGTCTTGTGAGCAACTGGGGAGAATCAGAAAGATTCGTTCGATATCGGTTTCCCAATGTGGGACTCCCATTTGAAGTCGTTCCTGTCGTCAACCGGTAGAACGAAGCAGTATGGTTAAGCCATCCCGTAGTGTTTTACTCCCACCTCGGCCTATCACATGTAACCCAAAGCGAACCCTGTGCACTGGTAAACTCCTGACTGACAAATAATTCTAGCTCATGGTGGTGAACGATTACTTTATCCTCAATGTTTTTGTCTCATAATCTCGGGTGGTCAACACACTACCAAACGTTTCGGAAAGTTCAAAAATTATCTTTATTGCCCTAAGATTCCAAGTGCCTTTAATTTACAAATTTGTGGCTACCTGTGTTCTTCTTCATTGGGTATATTGCTCATCTATCATTTTGCCTGGTCTCCCACAAAAGACTTCACACTGATTGTGCGTTCCATTAAGCTCAGTTCCAGATGTAGTTGATTGTTCATGGAGTCTTTGGTTGACTTTATCGGTACTAAATATTTTGGTGCATGTAACAACTTTTAGTAAAGATTTTAACTGCTACTTTTCACACTTTGCACGATGATATGGCAAAAGCTTCAAAATCTAATACTCAACTTCTAACCGCTGTGTCAAGCTCTGCTCGCAGAGCTCAGCGGCCTAGTGATCATGGCGATAGCTGCTGTCAAGCACTATGTGCCGAGTTCTATTCCAAACTCAAACTATCTCTACCTGGTGAGTTCAAACAAGGACGAAAGCGTCGGTCGTGGAGTGCATGGATGAGAGAGAGCAACCTCGAAAGCCTCTAAATGCTTATCCGGCCGGTACAGTGGGTCTCCCCCAAGGGTGCGACAATCACGTTTGCCTAAGTTTTTCCGCGGTAGAAAGTTTTCCTACCTAAACCAAGACGAAACCGTCGATCGTGGAATGTAGGGACTCATCATCATCATCGTCATCATTACACATTAGCTGGAGGTGGAAAACACCTCAGCTATTGTGCCGCAGTACAAAAGACAAGAAAAGGAAAACAAACAGTGGCACGCCCGCTGAGTCTCCAGTAATGGATGGACATCGTTCCGGAGAGCTAACAGCTGGCTGCCGTAAACGAGAGTCATATTATGCCTAACAAGCAAGATCGTGGTTGGAGGGGATGCATAGCAGGCGGGGGATGGACAAAGAAACTCACAACACAAACGCCATTGGGACCGGCTCCAAGCCATATCAGCGAGTCCAACTAAACGTGTTCACCGTCCTTAGGACCCCAGTCAGGCAGTCGGGATGCACCAACCGACACCAACTTCGAAGTGAGGGTTTTCATTTCTCTCGACCAAGTCATCACTTGACTTCCTCTCCTACTCCTCTTCCAACCGCACCCACAATGCGCAAACAATGCATGTCGCGGAAGTCGGTGTGCTGGCATGCGCAACACGTGGCCCAGCCATCGGAACCTGGTGTGTGATATAATGGTGCAGAGCGGTTCGCTCGCTCTTCCTGCACCAAATACGCGACGTCGAACACGCTCACTGCTCACGCGGTGCTCCCACCAAACATGAGCTAAGCTGCGAAGGCAGCGATGATCGAATATGACGAGCCTCTTTATGTATGTCGACCTGATGGGCCAGGTTTCACAGCCATATAGGATAGAGCAATGCCGAAAAAGTTTCCTCCTATTCGTCCACCTGCTCATAATTTAGAGTTTTGCTTTTTTGCACATCTTATCATCAGCTTAGCATATTCCATTCTTGTGTGGATTCCATGAAACCTATCAATACCGCTCGCGAACGTTTAGTTAAATGTGATGCGCATGCGTAGTTCATTTTCACCACTTAATTGCAAATTCACATCTATGTGTTAACTTATTCCATCCGTGATAGTAGGGTAAAATGTTGTCAATGCTGTTGTGGAGTTCTCCGAGCTGGGCAACTTGGTTGCAGACGTTTCGCCACCATTCGAGGTGGCATCTTCAGTGCGGGGTTGATAGCAGTGAAGTAGCAGTAGCTGGTAGAAAGGGTAAAATGTTGTCAATGCTGTTCCCAAACGTGCAGCTAAGGCCTATTTTGATTTAACGTGACATAACATTGCCTTCGCTAGCTTCTTTGTATGAAAAAAGATGACCTGTGATCTTTCTAGCATTGCAACGAAACGTATTTTGAATTTCACTTTACTGTTTTATTCATACGTCAATCCTTATTTGTCCACATCGTTAGTTCGGTGATTCACAAAAGCTGCGTTTGGTCCGTATTCTCAAAAGTGCCGTTATGGTACGTGTCGGAGGCGGATGGGTCAACTTGGACGAATTTCTTGCCAAAAACGACCCATGTAGAGGTAAGTCGGGCTTCCTGCGTACTTTCTTAATCGTGAATTTCTCATCCTTTTTCCGCCTAACATAAGCAGAACGATGGGGATGATAGATTCCATGTTAGTATTGGCCGATTGAAACGATTCTCTAGAAATTCGAACGCTCGTTAATCAGTGATTCATTTAAAAATTTTTGTCCTGCTTGTGACACATCTCACACCAGGGGTGTATCGACTGGACGGAGTGCCTCTGATCGGGCCCGTTCAGGGAGAAACTGTTCTCACCTGCTCACCTTGGGATCATAAATATAACATGGTTGTAAGGAGTCCGGGAATGCCTCAGAAGTCTGGATATTCAATTCACTCAAACACGCGTAGCTCATCTGAACCTATGTACTGCGTGCGTCTTCCTATCGCTGTTTCCTCCGGTTAGCGTAACGAGTAGTATGTTCACTCCGCTGGTTTCATCCCAGCAGTTCAGTGACGAAACTACACTCGTGCACATGGTTGGCCTGTACGGTACCAAATTAGGCGAGGCATCAAAATTGTCAGCTGAGGATGTGATAAAAATGCACCCACAATATCCGTGTCCGAAAATGCGTGCCCTTGCGTTCCGTTTTTCGTGCTTCTACCTGTCCTGTTCCAATGTCTATTTTCATTTTTTTCTCTGACAGTTTGTTCGTAAGTTTCGGGGTATTTTTTTTATTTCGCCCGATAATGTATATTATCATGGCTTTGGCGACTGGATCTTCTCATCTCAGTGTTCTACTCCCACTTGATTCACTGAACCATCCGACTGGCCGAGGGCTCCACTGTTCCGAGGATGTATCTAAGGGGCGGGGACTGTGCGGTGTTCACGGATCGGTAAAGACGCGTATGAAAGATGTCAGAGAGGCCGTCCGAAGGCCATCTTGGTGAAGGCTATTGAGGACACATGGTCGTTAGCTGGAGACATTGTATGACAGTACGACTAAATCGTCATCAATTGTTATTTATTCGTTACAACACTTCTGCAATCGAGAGTTCGTCGCAGCCAGTTCAAAATCAGTCATCCACGTGCCCGGAAAAGCACTAGACTGCAGTTTCAGCCTGTTGGGCATCATCATCAGTGCGCATCCATCGGATCTATCAGGATTCGAACCCATGACCACCACCGGATTGCACCGCCAGTCAGCAGCTTATGCCACTGGGCCATTGGGGACAGCTTCGGACCGTCATAATTTGCAAGCTAACTGCGATATAACCCGTCTTATCCTCCACTTCCGTGCAAGTTACTAAGGTTGCAGAGGACATGTTTGGTACCTAGAGACAGGACCTGCTTTAACAGTAACTACGTACGATTTAATCTTTAAAAACTATTTTGATATACTGATGAATAGGGGATTTTTGATGTAGATGATTAGCGGTTTCTTCGCAGTAGCTTTTGTGGCATAAGCTGCTGGATGGCGAAGGCAGCGATCACGATGATTCTTTAGAAAAATTAGGAGCACTGAGTGGACTAACGTGTTGTTTCAGCTATGTCTTGGTTTGGTGACACAACTTGCCCCCCTTTTTGCTGTGACAGTTGATTAGGTGAGACCGGGAAGTAGTGGCACCATAATTGTAATGCTGTTTATTGTGGAAGCCCAGTGAATGCAAGACAATGGGGCAAATGGAACGTAAAAGTAGTCAAATTACAGTCAAATCTTGTGACAAAACATAGAGCAAATTGTGCACCTGTCAACCCGTTTGCGTTGCAGCGCCAACAGTAAAGGCGGTGCGGTGGATGGAGGAATTCTGTTTTACGATGAACTACTTATAAATTACAGGGGAGTAGTAGGGGGAGTACGCAGACCAAACTGCTTATAATGGCATGAGTTAATTGGCGGCTTAAGTTTGGCAAGTTCGTCGCTTGGTGAGGGGGCTATCCTGCCCTCTGCATGGTAGTAACCTGCCAGTCAGTGGATAGTGAGCAGCGCTATATCACATCTAGTAACTTATTCACGATGGTCGTTGCCGTCCCCCGTAGCTCAGTGGTCTGAACCACGGACTGGTAACAGTCGAGTTGCGAGTTCGAAACCTACCAGGGTCCGATGGAATCCGCACTGCTGACGATTCCCGAATGAATGGAACGCACGTACAGTGCTTTTCCGGGCGCGTGATGGCTGTCTGAGTTAGTCTAGATGTGACGAATTTCTACCTATACTCATAAATTGTCAGCAGACTATTTATTCCCGCGAGTTTGGAAATCTTTGTAATGATGAGCCTCGCCATAGAAACGCCTTCAATATTCGAAACACCTGAATCCATTCGGTATGCACAAACGGCTATAGCTAAGTATGAGTTATTGCATAGCTACTTGGCAATGCTCCAGCGGTATTCCACTTTTCAGCTTTCCGACAGTTTCTTTGCTTCTATCATCATTGTCTAACTTTTAGGGTCGCACGTATCGCCTGTGCCCAGCCTGTTTCCGATTGAGTGGTAAAGGTGGACGTGCACTTCTCTATAGTCTATCTAGCCACATAGACATGCAGTCACCACACAATCGGAAATGGGACGAAAATGTACATTCTTCTGTCAGGCTCATCGACGATGCGTATTTCCCTGGGGATACGAACCCATGAAGTTGTGTGATGTAGCCATAGAGTTACTCCGCTGAATGATGCGTAACGGCACTGACCTGGACCCTGTAACAGTTTTTTCTCGATTATTATCCACTGTACCATATTACTTATACTCGTCTGACAGTGTGTGCCCCTCGGCGAAAAACACGCCAGGTTCTCTACACGTATGCATCCCATTTCCTTGTTAATTCTCATCTTTCACCTGATTTGTTAGGTGCTTGTCAGCGCCTATCAAGCTTCACAGACTTAGCAGCTGCAGCAGGATTGACCACGACCAATCGTCAACGGCCTCCCATTCCGTCTCATCATCGCGGTCCTCCCAGTCTGTCTACCAACTACTCAAACGCCCTGCGCAGTAGTATCGATAGTCATTCAAGTTCACAGCAAACGTGCATGGCCGGTGAGAAAGGTGCGCGTCGCTCGCGTCAGCGGGGCAGGATGTCCTACAATCATGCAGCGTTCCGGCCTATTTCCGGTCCTGGACAGGATAACGCCTTCTATCTTGTGATGCCGAGCACCAAAGCGAATCCAAGCAACCATCTATCATTCTATTCACCCCACATTGGAGAGTGGTTCACTGAGGCTAAGCGTTAATCAGCATCGCTTCGGTGTAGCATCGTATCCTACCATACCGGTGTGTGTTTGTGTGCGTGCACCCGAATATTCGGAATTTCGAGCACATCACAATCAACGCTTCCTTCAGTCTTTCCCAACCTCAACTGGCTTTTACTCACAAGGTTTGTTGTGAACGTCAGTTTCCTTACCTCCCCCCCCCCACTGAAGCATGCGTCACGTTAGATGTTGACGAGCCTTGTTGTCCTTGTAACTACCCGTCAACTGAGGCTTTTTGTGCACGTCGCTTCCTCGAATCAACATGCATGAGTATTCTATATGGAATGTAATGAGCAGTGTCGCTGGCCCCGCTCATGATGTGACTGTCCTCTCCAATGACAAAAGCTCTCTTCCTTTTTAGCCGCTGGCCAACTGGATCAGTCCATGATCAGTGACAAGGTGGGTAGTGTGCGTCAGAGGCCGTCCCCTCGCCCAAGTGTGGCTACAACTTCTCGTTCTGGCAGCTCCGTGTCTGTCTCCGCCTATCTCCTTGGACCCTCCACCGAGCGCGATGTTGTTTCCAAAGCCCCTACACCGTACCGCACTGAACACAGTAGTCAAAGTTTCGATAATTTCGTATCCAAAAGTCTTTCGGAAGTAGGGCAATTTGATTCCAAGCCAGTAGTGGTGGAACGAGACGATCAGTGTTCGCGGTCATCTTCACGAATCTCCATCAGCAGCAGCAGTGTTCCGGACTCTAGAACTGGTGAGTTGAGTGTAGTAACAACAATTTTGGTTAAGCCTCCACAGAAAATACACTAATAGAACATGACTCATAAATATGCACAAAGAAAGCGTAACACTTAGTATTTCTTACGAATCTGTGTTGGAATATCATTACTATGCAGTCTAAACAAGATCTCACACACTTTGTGCATGGTCCATTCATTCAAATGCAGCCATAGATACACGTCTGCAGAAACGCCACCAGACGCAAGAAATTTCTCTCTGGATGGGATTACTGATAGCGAATTATCCGGTAGATAAACTAGTTGTATTTTTGTTCGTCGCAATCAGCCGACAATACAGATATGTCGACCAGCTATTCGGAAAAGCACCAGACGAACGTTTCGCCCTATTGGGGCTCATCAGTGGTGCGCATCCTTCGGTCCTTTGCGGAGGATCGAACCCATGACTGCTAGTGGCTCTTGCCAACTAGCCCGCAGCTTACGCAACTGGGCCATGGAGGACGGTATCTGACTATCGTGAATTGTTAGCTAAATGCGATATAGCCCGACCGATTCTCCACTGCCATGCAGATGACAGCGGTTGGCCTTCGGGCGTCAGGACTTCCCGGTTACGGCAGCTATGAATCGACATAGCATTTTGTGGAATCCGTAAGGACGAATTGGTATAACTTATGAGTAGAAAGATTTTGGCGAATATTTTGTTCGTCGCAGTCAGCCGACATTTCAGATAAGCCAACTACCTATCCGGAAAAGCACCAGACGGCCGTTTCACCCTATTAGAGCTGGTCAATGGTGCGCATCCTTTGCGGAGGATCGAACCCATGACTGCTAGTGGCTTGTGTCAACTAGCCCGCAGCTTATGCAACTGAGCCATGGAGGACGGCAGCCGACCATCACGAATTGTTAGCTAACTGCGATATAGCCCGACCCATCCTCCACTGCCATGCAGATGACAGCGGTTGGCCTTCCGGCGTCAGGAGTTCCCGGGCTATATCGCATTTAGCTAACAATTCGTGATGGTCGGATACCGTCCTCCATGGCGCAGTTGCATAAGCTGCGGGCTAGTTGGCAAGAGCCACTAGCAGTCATGGGTTCGATCCTCCGCAGAGGGTCGAAGGATGCGCACCACTGATGAGCCCCAATAGGGCGAAACGTCCGTCTGGTGCTTTTCCGGATAGCTGGTCGACATATTTGAATTGTCGGCTGATTGCGACGAACAAAAATACTCACCAAAATCCTTCCACTCATAAGTAAACATTAGTTGTTGCACGTCCCCAACACCGCTGCCTCACGATTGATTGCAATTTTATCTCTGAGCTGTCACAAACGTACTTCTGATAAAAAGATGACCGATGTTTTACCCAATCTTTTCGGTCCGGTCGAGGCTCAACGAGGCCTCGGACACCGGGACGCTTTCTAGCCGACACCTGCAACTGCACCCGTTTCTACATATTCGATTGATCTCATGTGCATTGTCTTTCTTTTTAGGTGCTCGAAGATCCAGTATCGCGAGTCGGGCACCCAGATGCCCCGATGGTGGGATCCGTGTATCGAACCGCAGTTCCCAAGATGTGGTCTCTTCTCAGTCCAGTATTCCCCGTGACGCGGAACATCGCAAGGCATCAAAATCGCATATCCCATCTTTGAAACGCTAACATTCCATATCACTTGAATGGTAATGCCCCATGTGGCATTGTCTATTCAATAGGTCCATCACGTCAGCTTTCCCATTGGTAAGCGCCTCGTCCGATAACTCACCCGAACCTCTCCATTTTGGATGTCCTCCTGTCACCAAACACATACACACACACACGGACAGCCCCAGCCTACCTCCTCCTCTATCCCGCACCATTTTTAATTTCGGGAGTTTTCACTTTCGCACAACAGCTGATATCGATGTTTCGGTTGAGATATTTTTTATTACCTTTTCTGCTTTCATTGTTACTTATCTCTCTTGATCCATTGTACGTGCTCGGTCCTCTTCCACGTATACTTTCTGTGAACATTGGCCCATTCTCTCATATCTTAGTGGTAAGTACAGAAGCAGACCTGCGGGATGTGGGTAGGTTACGGAGCCAGTCTGTCACGTGGTACAGATATATTGGAATTGTGTATCGTCATGCCGACCATTTCGTTAGGGAATTTGCTCGACCTGATAGATTGGAGGGATTTTGAACCAATTATTTCGAAAGAACATTTCTTCCTTTAACCAACTGGGACTACTGAAAACAACCTCTTGGTCATCCTCATCAACAGTGTTACATCAGTAGACCGTACAGATCCTTCACATGCATACAAACACACTGACCACATCAATAAGTATTGACATTAAGGAGGGCTAGTGTAGAACCTAAATCCCCCAAACAGACGTTCAGGAGCAGGGAGCCTACACTCTGCTGGTAACACATAACTGATTAGAGTGAGAAGACAGAGTTTTCGAAAAACAGCTTCTTCCCAACATTATTATCAACTCAGTCTTATAGATAGCTCAGCATCATACAAACCTTCAACAGACCCCCTGGCCAGGATAGCAAACATACAACTGGTGGGTCGCATTAGACCAAGCATGGAACTCAAGACATCATTGGGTCCATTTTTCAATGCCAAGTCAATCTTCTCGAATGTTTCATCTTCTCACATTGGGTAAGTAAAAATCCAGTTTTAGTATCCATAACTGGACATATGTATAACGTGTAGAAACACATGTAACCTGCGGATTTTGAGCTGTTCTCTGAGCTGAGTGATTATTGTGTAGACGTTTCGTTGCCTGACAAGGCAACATCATCAGTGCGGCTTCGGGGCCTGTTTCGCTGTGCCTTGTAAGCGACGTCAATGTAACTTACTCCGTCTTATTTGCCGACTTAAAGAACTAACCTGACAACCATTGCTTAGTACTGAACTACAACATCCACCTTTGCGGACGCACTGATGAGACGCGGTACTAGCCGAGATCTTCACATCCAAGGAGTCATGCTTCATACTAATTAAGGAGAACAGCCCTCTGTGGCCTTGTAGATAAGGACTTTCAGACCGAGGGGTAAGATGACTCCTCAGTCAGACTTCTGGTTGACACCTCAACATCTTCATCGTTAGAACATTCGAGGGACCACTCCGTATAGCCTACGGTAACACTGACTATGAGTTTGGAGTTAAGAGGTTCTTGGTGAATGGCACCTTTTGTTGGAAATGTGTCCGATGACAACTGGCCGTAGATTCTGGCGCGGCTTGAGGTGCTCGAACTCACGGCACGTAAAATATTCACATATTTGATGAGAACACGTTTCTGTCTAGGTTCAACGAACAGAATTGAGCTATCGACGGAGTCGAATACGCTCTCGGAACTGAGCAGTCCGTGAAATGTACCGTTCGGCATAAATAGCGGTGGGCTAGTTCTCAGTACATTTCATGGTGCGGTGGACCAATGGAATGATGGAGAGCGCGCATCACTCTGACTGATGTGTTCGTTGTCCGTTACCGCCTGCTGTCTGGACGTGCTATGAAGCTGCTTTAGCTGATGGGTGTCGCTCTCAAGGACCTCCCAAGCATGTCCGGTGGTCTCACGGGCACGTAGCAAACTCCATATTTTCACAAACTGTGAACGGGGAACCCTGGCAACAACCGGCTACTCTCTGGGTGGATTTCGCATTTCCCCACCCCCAAAGAGGCGAGCAGGCAATGATGAGGATGAGGTTCCAAAGAAACAACCGTTCCGTGGACAATAGTGCAATGTGTGGCAAAAAGTATCACTCACACTCCATTCCACGCCATAGAGTAGTGCGATTTCACAGGTCGGCTCAAGGAATGACACGTCCAACGGTGCCGAATCGCGAAACGGCAAAATAACCAGCGAACGACTAGTACCGTTTTTGTGTAGATTCGTTGCAGTTAGACACAGACAGACAGCCACCACACATCCAGGAAAGCGCTAGACGGTCGTTTCGTCCTATTGGGACTCGTCAGTAGCGCGCACCCACCGAATCCTGCCGGATTCGAACCCACGACCTTACTCTTGCGAGTCAACGACTTATGTCACTGAGCCATGGGCAACGGCAGCGGACCGCCATGACTGATATCTAACTGCGATATAGCGCGGCTTATCCTCTACTGTCTTGCATGTTATGCACGTGCAGAGAACAGGGCTGGCCCCCAGAGCGCTTTCCTGGATATGTGGTGGCTGTCTGTGTCTAACTGCGACGAACCTACACAAAAGCCTAATAAATCCCCCTACTACTTACAAATGACTAGTACCGTCTTCACTGGAGTGCAATGTACGCAATACATAGAACAGGCCGCAAGAACGAAGAGAACCCTATCGAACCAATAACCAGGACAGACTGGGGTCTATCCGTAATCAGATTCAGCGTATACATGGAACTGGAAATTAACTAAAAACAATTAAATCATGTTAGAAACATAACACTTGCAACAAGAACTTTCTTCGGCAATTCAATTCAGGCAAATACAATTACAAGACAGATAAACGTGACAGATAAGCGAACGCTGGGGATGCAATTGGTTGACTCGAAGAAGTCGATCACTAATCCACTCGATACAGTCAGATGTCATGAGTCGCGCGAGCCCGCGCGAAGACGCAAGAATTAGCAGTCCAGAAATGTTAGAAGCTGAAAGAGAGTTTATTCGCAAGACGCTGCAAAGCAACGTGTATCCCAATGCGTTTATCGAAAAGCATTCCGCTGTTCCTGATCAAATTAAAGCGATACCGACTCCAAGATAGAAGGATGTTTACCTCTCAGTTCCTTTCATGGGAAATATCGTTTTCGACTTACTGAATACGAGGCTATCAGTGGTGGTGCAAAACATATCCGGCCGGTAAAGTTCATATTTTGCTGAAACTGTTACGCTCATCACCCAACGCCTCAAAGATAGAATCCCGGGTCGTTCCGAATCATTTTTTCTCGCTATCAGTTCACCTGCACCTCGGGCACACGACCAGGAGTCTATGTAGGCGGATAGCGGAGCACTGCCCTGTGTCTTTGCAACATGGTATAGTTAAGAATGTCCGCAGCTCGATCCTCGAACATCTGTTTAGTACTGGCCATCAGATTCGGACTGATGACGCCTTCAAAGTAGTCTACACGGCGCCAAAGCGCAACCCTAAAAGGAATCAGAAAGCGCTTGTTGGCCACCAATGAAATCTTTGCAATCAGAATACTACAGCCGGATTTGTGTAAGCAGAGAATATTGGTACAATCTAGCCCGTGGCCGTGACCGTAACGTCACACCGCGGTTACGACTGAGAGTGCCCATTGTAGACCTATCAGCCGACGCTTCTGTGCTTTGTGCGTGTGTGCATCTTCGCGCGACTCATGACATCTGACAGTATCGAGTGAATTATTGATCGACTTCGTCGAGTCAACAAATCACATCCCCAGTGTTCGCTTACCTGTCACCTTTATCTGTCTTGTAATTGCATTTAACTGAAATGAATTGCCGAAAAGGGTTCTCTCCACAAGTGTTGTGTTCTGAATGAATGAATGGTCACTCGGAAAAGGTGTCGGCGGACGAACTCAGGTCGGAGCGTGAATCAGCAGCTGCAAGAAAGGAATGCCTCACATGTGAACGACCGGTGACGTGTATCAATGAGAAACACTCGATGCTTGCTGTTTCACTAGCATGGCCACTTGACCTAATGACCTGTAACACTATTATCCAATGGTTCATGTTATGTCTTGCAACCTTCAACTTATGTTCCCATAAAAAGCTAAGCCAATTTGTAACGATTCACGTGGCCTGAAGAAGCTTTTGTGTTAAGGGCGAAACGTTGCCACAATAAAACCCTACCAAAACCGATTTGTATTCAAACCTTCTGAAATCTGGATGAAGTATATCATGGTAGCCGCTAAGTTTGGGAGGAGGAAGGGGATGGAATAGGTGCAGAATAGATAGTAAACTCAGTACAGAGAGCCAATGGTTCCAAACTGAATCACTTGATCAAACTTGATGCGAACTAGAGGGTCTCTCAAACAGGCCGATCATACAGTCAGCACATAATCGGTAGATCCATGGGCGACGAACCCATCTGAGAATCTTTGGGTTTTGGAGCCACGATCCCTGAATCTGTAGCCAATCTCACCCCATTGGACCACGGGCGACGGCGACGGTCTATGTGACTGCCTTTTCGCATGTGAAATAATCCATCTCATTCTTCACTCCCATGAACTTTGTGATGACGACTTCCTTAACACGGGAAATATCGTCAAAAGCGTCTCGGTAACTAGTGCAATTTCTGCGATAGAGAAACCTTCAATGGTCCCACTACTCTCTAGATCATTTTCCAGGGAGCCAAGCAGCCGCTCAAGATATGATATATCAAGATGCGAATTGAAATGAGGTGCAAAGAAAGCGAACTCCTGCTTTCGAAAAACAGGTTTTTTCCTAAAAAGGACGAAACTTCCACAAAATATGAGTACATCTGATGGGTACGCTATATATGACAGCGTAGATGTCGCCTCAAATGGACGCCCACAGTAGCACCAGAAAGCAAGTTATTTTTCGGTATCAGGTGTTTTTTAATTTGACACCATATGACCAACCTCTATCGGATAATTCCTCCACGGTCTTTGCAGCAGTTTCTGCGGTGTTTCCTTCCGCGAATGACAGATTTGCCCAGGTAGTGCGAACGCTCCACATGTACCTAGCAACCAGTCCCTTCTTTGGGTCTCCTAGAAATGTTTCCCAAACAGCATAATCTTGGGAAGTCCGAGGAAAGGTGATAACGAAAGTACCTATTGGATACCTCCCATTGAATGTTTTAAATCAAAAACAAAAAGTAGGCGAGTGATCAACCATGGCTAATTTGCTTTGGTTCGGTTCAGTGAATGTGGCATCCTCGTGGCCACTACTGCTATGTACTTCCTATTGGCTGTCCACGTTTGTCCAGCACCACTCGTCGATTGGTCCAATCTGAACTACACGATTGATAGATTGTAAAAATGCCGATTATGACATAGTATAACTTCCGCGTACTTGACGTTTCTTGTTTTGCG